GAGCCGAGTTTGGCTCATTTATAATCCTAACCACAACGAATTCCAGCCTGAATTGAAAATAGCAGCCACCAACACAACACTCATGTAAATCAATATATATTCTTCACTTGCATTAAAAATTGGAAATAACCACAAATAACAAAAGCAAACATGAAAAACTCATATACAATACCCGTAAAAATCATTTAAAATTTCTCCAATAATTATGAATAATAATCCAAGGCCAAAAATGAAGAATATCCATAACAAGGGCTGAACTTTAATAAAAGACTAAAAATACACAAAGCTAAAGAAACAAAGTTAAATAAAAAGAACAATAGTTAAGGATATGCTCTTGTACACACTAAAATTGTCGACACAAATCTCGAAGCAATCGAGCGACTAAAGATGACTCAATGATTGAGACATGATCTAAACCGATCATCTGAATGATCAACAGAAAGATTAAGCCCAACGACATTCATTATCGGTGAATCCAATTGTCGGGCCTATCTACCTTCTCAACCACCGAAGCTCCCTAAAATCTAGTCGAATGCAACTGACCGACCGACCACTTATTCCTCGGCTGGAACGACCACCACAAGGCCCGTCACTTTGGTCAACCAAACCAAAACACTTCGATCGTCTGATAACCACCATATTCAAATTCAAACTATAATATAAATTTAGTATTAAATCAACACATTGATTGCATTAAGAGTTGTTTCCATAATTGTTCCATTCTTTCTGCAATTATGCAAGCATGCCTCTATAAATAGGGAAAAAAAGATGAATAAAGAGACCTCGGTCAACGAACTTTCACCCGACCTCTCTACTGAGAATTTCCTAACGATTTTCTTCTCTCTCCCTCTCTCTCTCCCCTCCTTCTCCCAGCTATAACTCTCTAGGCGTGAATTTCCAAAAGACAATTTCGGATCGAACATCTTGAAAGATGATACGGTGAGCATGGACACTTCACAGATGAGAAGCGAAGCAAACTATAATAGAGAATCCTCGCAGAGAGACATAGCACCCATGGAATTCAACAGAGAGACGATGCATCGAGACATTCGGGAAGAGGTCCAAGCACTGCAAGTGCAAAATAATGGAACGATTTGAGGCGCTCCAAGCGATCATAACTCGGTGCGTCAAACTGCCACCTTTGGAGGGAGTGTCTAGGGAAACTCGCCCCAAGAGAGGGGAGAAACTCGCCCCAAGAGAGCTCCCCTTGACAATCCATCAATGCATAACGGTCAAGTTGGCAATTGACCCATCCAAGGGCAAGCGAACTCTCGACGAGCTGACAGTGCAAGATCTACATCGATGGTCAGACACCAAAAAGACCGAGGGAGCGCACCCGCCATGTTGACGGTAGACAGTGCTTTCTCTCAGCGAATCCTGGAGGTTTCCCCCGCAACAAAGCTATGAATTTCTCACTTCGATCCCTATAAAAGAAAGAGTGGCCAGCCCCACCACCTAGCTTCCTTAAAATCACTGGTCATGGTCCTACAAGTTGATGACGCCATAAAATGCCTTTTTCTGACCACTTTGAAAAAAGTCGTGCTCCGGTGGTTTAACTGATTCCATCCTTCTATGAATTCAAAAAACACATGTTGTGGTGCTTTGTCAATGTGTAGAGGCCGAGGAAGGATACAAAGACCCTGCTACAAATCAGGTAGGGAGGAAATGAAAGCCTACAAGCTTACATCACCCTGTTCCAAAAAGAAATGCTAGAGGTGAAGAACTTGTAGCCTCTCATCACCCAGACAGCCCTGAAGCAGGGGATCCACAACAAGTGATTCATGTATGACTTGAACCTACTCAAACTAAGGACATTCGCAGAGGTCTTGGAATTAGCCAATGGCCACATTGCTGTCGAGGAAAACCTTATGGATTCCCTAGAAAAAAACATGGGAGCGTCTAACCATTGTTGCAGAAGCGAAGGGCCCATGATGATGACAGAAGGCCAAAGGGTGATAGTGTCCTTGGCGGCCAACAGATCGACAATCCTTGATCTTGGGATGGTCGAGGGAGTGACTGAGGCAACAGAGGTCAGAGATACCGTCCTGACCAGTAGTTAGCCCAATACCATGAGCATCCACATGTGTAACGAGAGATGCAAGGATTGACACCCCTGAATGTATCGATGATCGAACTAGTCTAAGCCATCCAAAACAATGACGACATAAAGAAGGCCCATCCGTAGAAGACAGTACCAGCACTACACAATCCAAATAAATATTATTCTTACCATCGAGACCAGGGGAACGAAACAAAGGAGTGTCGTCATGAAAGCCCACTTTTGCTTGAGTTTTGGGATCCACGTCACCTGGCTCGTATCATCGGCCATGATGTACCTCAGTTATCTGGATAAAAAAAAAACTAGCTCCAAAGGATGCAACGCCAAGTCCACGACTCTATTTATAGAGCACACTAGACACGAAACCCAAAGGAAAGTCAATAGTTCAGTCAATTCTTAATGTCACTGGTTGTTTAAAAAATTTCATGTCCTTATCGTAGTTGTCGCAGTCAAGGAGCGGGAAAACTCGAAGAACTAATATGTACACACCAAAAATTGTCGGCATAAATCTCAAAGCAATTGAACGACTAAAGTTGATGTGTCAACGATCGAGGCATTAAATTCAAAAGGCATGATCTAAAACAATCATCAGAAAGATTAACAGATTGATCAAGTCCACCAACATATATTATCGACGAATCCGGTCGGCGGGCCTATCTCCGATCCCAACCGTTGAAGCTCCCTAAAAGCTGGTCAAATGTAACCGGCTGATCGACCACCTATACCTCAACAAGAACGTCTGCCACGAGGCTTGTCGCTTTGGTCGACCAAACAAAAACACGTCGACTAACTGATCACCGTCATATCTAAATTCAAATTGTAATACAAATTTAGTATTATATTATCACATTGATTTCATTAATGGTGATTTCCATAACCGTTCTTTTGTTTCTGCAATTGGACAAATACATTTCTATAAATAGGGGGGAAAAATATGAATAAAGGGACCCCGGTCTGCGGACCTTCTCTCGGCCTATCTACAAAGAATTTTCTAACGCTTTTCTTCACTCTCTCCTTCTTCTCTCTTCTCTAACTCTTAAGGTGTATATTTTCGAAAGACAATTCCGAATCCACAACTCTTAACATACTGAGATCAAACGAAGAATCGAAAAATAAACAGGTATAAAACCAAGAGTTTAGATATTTACAATGTGCACACAAAAAATCATTAAAATTTTCTCTAAGAACTATGAATAATTTATATCATTGGTCCACAACTATCCAAAAGCAAGGTTGAGTTTTAATGTACGATTGAAAATCTTTACAGCCCAACCTACTGAAACACATCATGTAAGTAATTAATTGTATTAAGAATCTGTTTGAGGCAACTTGTGCGTTTCAGGATAAACAGCTAATCCTGAAACGCAGTCCGCGGGTTGACCGCAGGGTCGACCCGCGGCTTGCGTTTAGTGTAAAAAACTCAAACGCGGCAGACAGTGTTTTCAAAAACGCGGCAGACAGCGTTTTCAAAAATGCGCAAGCCAAACTGTTATGCGGTATTTTCAAAAATATCGCCGCACTTATAAACCGCCCCCAACCTTAAATTGATCAAATACTCAATATTCTCATAATAGAAATTAAAAAAAAAAAAAAACAACCCATCAAACACGGGGAATATTCTCCAATCCACCCACCGAGCAGGATTTATGCGCGTGGGTCCATTCTAAATCAGAAAAGTAGAAAACTACTATATTAAGGATTTCATCATAATAAATAAAAATTATAATTTTTTTTAGATAAAATAGCAAACAATTAATTAAATTTTTCCTTGATATCCATATTAAGTATATAAACATATATATATTCTGATACTTAAATCTTATTTATATATTTAATATCTTAATCTTTCAATGACATGAAAATCTATTAATAAATATTTTAAATGCCATTTATTGGGGATTTAGTATACACCACATTATTTTTATATATTTATATATCTAACACTTAATTTCTTATATTTATAGAAATGACACTCCAACCTTTAATATCACATAAAAATATTATTATTATTATTACTATTATTAAATTTTTATTTAATTCAATTAATATTTAAATTCATTTAACATTTAAGAATTTAAATACATGTCACACAATTTTAATATATTTTTGCCTAATTGCTTTTTTTATTTATTCAAATAACATTAAAATATTTAAAGTCTATGGTTCAAAATGATGGTGATATAGATGGGGTTTTTATTAGTAGAATTCAAGTTGGGTGGCTGAAGAGTAGTGATTGGGGTCTATTGCGTGATAGAAAAATACCGCTTAGACTAAAATTAAAATTTTATAAAATGCTGGTGAGAATTGCTATGCTATATGATCGTAGAATGTTGGCCTTTAAAATAGAAGCATAAAATTAAGTTAAGTGTTGTCGAGATGAGAATGCTTGGGTGGATGGGTGGCTTTACACTTAGAGACAAACAAAATGCGAAATATATATATTCGTGATAGGGTCGGTGCAGGTCCAGTGGTGGAAAAAAATTGGAGATAGTCGTCTTAGATGGTTTGGTCAATTTAAATGTTGATTATCTGATGATCCAGTTATTAGAGTAGATGTTTTAGACTCGTCTTATGTTAAGAAAAGCAGAGGTAGACCTCGAAAGACTTGGGCATATTGTATAAAAAAAAAGATCTTAATTTATCAGAATTAAATGAAAATATGACATTCAATTTTCATGCAGCCTGCCCCACTTGTTGTTGTTGTTGTTGAACCTCTAAGATCAATTATTTCTTTAAATGGCATACAAATTTCTATCTTAAGCTCACATGTGATTATTATATTAAATTGTTATATAAGTATAGATTATAGCTTAATTATTAAATATATAAATATATAAAAAGTATATGGCATGAACTTAATCTTTTTTTTTAATTATTATTATAAAAAATAAAATAGATATAAAAATTTTAAAATTAGATATGGTATTTTGAGCAACTAATTCATTATGGGAAGCATTCTTTCTTCTTTCTTCCTTGTTACAACAGGGAAGCTTCTCCTTCCACGCTTGGGTCGTTGGCTGCTCTCCCAAGCCCTCTTTTGACCTAATTCTGTGTCCTCTGGTCATGGCGGACTTTTGAAGAATTTAGGGTTCTTTTTTCTCTAAAGCTGCCGTCTCATCTTTATCTTTATAAACTATCTGCCCCCTTCTTTCTACAACGGCGACTTCCATTTCTATTCACCCAGGTAAGGGTTTTTTTACAATTCCGATATGTTTGGTTAATGAAGATTAGTTTTCCACGTGTGATGTGATGGGCAGTTATCGTATTCTCTGGCACGGTTTTGTTTTGGTTTCTTGATTTGTGCTATGCCGCTATTTCTAGAGAAGTTTTGTAGGGTTTTATGTATCTGAATCTGGTGATTTCTCTTGAGAATTGTGCGAGATTTGATTGTAATTATTTGTTTTGGTGCGCTGCTTTCGCCTTTGAATGAATTTGTACGGGGATGCTTATTCACGGTTAATTCTTGTTTCAGATTTTAGTAAATTGAGGATTCAAGAACAAGAATGCGTGCGCCTTCACTTCTTTCTCAATGTTTGATGGGTTTGATAACCCATGATAAGACCGGCCATGGATTATCCATAGCTTCTGAAAGGGATTCTAATTTTCCTTCACCTGCGGTCGAGATTGCCCCTTCGAAGGTATGCGATTTACAAGTTCAAGTTTTTTTTTTAAATGATTTGGATAGATTTGCAGCTGTTATTAAATAGGTTTTGATCATTTAGTTTCCTTGGATTTTTAGTTATAATTGGTTTAGCCAGAGATAAATCTTATATGTTATCTAGCATCTTTATTTTCATTTCATTCTCTTTTTTCTGCTGTCAACTAAGCAGAAATTTTCTGCTTACTTCTCGCAGAGTGCTCATTCCTACAAGTATGCAGGGGAGAATGTTGATTTACAGGGCATCAACATCTTTAAGGTTTGCTCTTAAAAAATGGTTTTTTTTTTCTCGCAGATTATTGCACTAACTATACTCTGTACTAAGAAGGAAATTAGCGCATTTGAGTTGTATAATTGATGATCCCGAGCTAGAGCTAAATACCAGTGCTATGAATTTTATTCTACCATTGTGTTGAAAAAAAAGAGGCATTTACATACGTACAACTCAATTCTTATATAATTTGCATATGTAACGCTTAAATTTTTACATTTACATGCATACCACTCAAATCTTTAAAATCACATAAAAAATACCACCATCGCTATCTTTTTAAAATTGAAATACACCTTTTCACGCATAAACTTATGACAATAAGGAGTTATAAGTGTAAATTTCAAACTATGGGTGTTTGATATGTAAATGCATAAAGATCGGGTGCTAAATATGTAAATTTTCGGAAATAATATTGTGCTAGTGATTTATAATTCTATTGTTCTTGTAGGACTGACCATTATTAACAAGCATTAAAGTCTGTTTCACCTAAAAATTTTTCGTTAGTTTGGCCATGGAGGATTTTTAAATTTCATGAATGTTGCAGGGAAGAGTTAGTGTGGCTGATATCATTGGTTTTTCGAGTTTAGAAACAATATCTTCAAAACATGATGGTAAGCTATTATGTGTTCAAGGCTGCGAAATGGAATTTTAAGAATGAGCTGATCTGATTGGTTAATTTTAATGCTGTTTCAGGATATTTAAAATCTTGGGAAAGTTCGTTCGATCTTGTAAACATTCTCAAACATGAAATTCGTGATGGGCAGTTGAGTTTTAGAGGAAAACGTGTTTTGGAGGTAAATTAATGTCATATTTCCTTTTGTAAAAAAATTAATTCTTTGTTACATTGATTTGTTTTTTTAGCACTTTATTTTCTCTGGTTAATCCTGATTGCAGAGCATTATAAATCATCTTATGACACTCGTTTTGAAAAGAGAAGACTTTATAACTCGAGCTCTCGCTAATTGGTTAAGTGAAATTAAAGGGCAATTTACGTACATAACACAATTTTTTTTTTTTGTATTTATGTATTTACATTCATGTTTACATATCATGTTTACATACATAGCACTCAAATCATTAATATCACAGAAATAATAACACTATTACCATTTTTTTAAAGTGAAATACACCTTTTCATGCATGGATGGGTTAATGCACCAATGTGTTATGTATGTAAATATGAAAGTGTCGCTGCGAGATCTGTAAATACAAAAGAATCGTGTGCTAGGTATGTAAATTTCCCAATGTTATATAATGCTCCAATTTCAGCAATATTTTCTACAGAACAATGTTGGTTAATTTACATTGTGATGGGTTTGTTAGCATAAAAATCAAGCATATATTTTATTAGCTACTGTACCATCAACTCTATTATTGATTGAATATAAGCAGCTTCAATCTAAACCTATATTTAAATTTCAACAAGTGTTACCCCTATCAACCTAAATATTGTGAGGCTTAACAGAATTAATCATTGATGGCCCCCTAATTTTGAACATCCATATTCAACCATAGCTTAGATCTGTCCTAATGGCTTAATAAAGTCAATCAAATTTCCCCATCAAGTCCCTCAATTATCTGCAAATTATACTGAAAAATAATCATTTAGTCATCCTTTGAAATGTTACCCATTGTTTGTTGATTAAGGTTGCCAACCTAGCTAAAGCATCATTACTGTTTAGTTATTTTGTTTAGTTTTTTCTTGGGACCAAACTTTCAAAATTGGATTGGCACTAAGCTAGAAAGGTGATAATATATACTATCTAAAATGATTAAATGAGATTAGAGTTACTAAGCTTAAACAAAATTATATGCATTAGTAGTGAAGATAATATGGTTTTAGTTAAACATGAAAGCATCAAGGGTGATCAAAATGTTGTGAGATTTTGATAAATTAGAGTTTTGTTAATAAAATTTAGAAGTGAAATAAACAAAATTATGGATTATATTATAGATCAATCCAAAATGTTCAGTTTAATTACATTTCAAGAAAATGCATAAATATAAAGCACCAAGTCAAAATTATTTTTCATTCGGATTAGTATATTTATAGTTGTTCAGCCCTAGTTATGAGAGAGGGTAGCGGAATAGGGCCTTAGAATAAATAACATTTATAGTTGATTAAGAAGGGCCGTATTATGGAGGCAATTTTGTGTAATGCAAATGATGTATTTCGGAACCAATGAAAGGATCTCCATATGACTTCTATTAATTTTGACAAAACATATTGATTATTTTAAAATTTAATTTGTGTGAATCATGGATAAAATGTGTGTCAAAGATGTGTTAAGATACTTATGATGAAATAATAAAGAGAATCATTGATATTTTAAATTTCTCTAAGATAAGAATGGCCTAGCGAGCTTCGGGTCTAAATTAGGTTAATGGACTCAAAGGGATCTGCTTTGACATGCTTGGGAATGATAGTGATTACAGGAGGATTTAGAGTTTGCTCAAGATGACAAAACTATGAGATCTTGCTCGGACAATTCATCATTCTCCAAACCAAATCCCTTCAAGCATGAGAGTCAATCAAATATTCTCTTTCTCCAATCAGTTCATTGTAGCAACACATTTGAGAGCTATTGTGATAATGTGCTTATGAGAGTTGGCACCACCAACCTTAATCATAAGTGCTCCCCCTTGTAGAGGTGGTAATTAACCGTGGTTGCTCATGTCTTTGGAAAATCATTGGACCAAGAAAATAGAGTCCAAATTAGAGGTTAAAAATTTTAGGAAGCATTATTTTCAATATTTTAATTTGCCTCTTGAAAGCACTCATCATCCCCATATCTCAGTAGTGTGGGCCGCACTTTGGAATGCCCACAAGCATTATAAATAATCTTTGAGTGGCAAAGTTTTCAATTACTAGACTTTTCATCAAGAATTGACATTTATTATGTATTTTGTTATTTTGGTTATCAAGATCTTTATAAGGAATTTTTAAAGTGAAGCCACTTTGTATATGCTTGTTGAAGGAACTTCTAAAATAAGTGAAAAGTTAGAATGTAAGCCATATTTAGAGGATAAGAGATTTAGGAATATGTTGATTTTAGGTTGTAATTTTTTACTCAGTATTGCTACCAGATAAAAATAATACTTTTTTTTAGAATTTTAAGTAATTTGACATGTTTTAACCAAAATAAAAAGGTTATATTATTAAGAGTATATCCTCTAGAGTTGAGTCTAAAATGGAGGTGCACCCAAAAGTCCTTTTTAATATAGAAGTATCATGGCAAAAAGTATATAAATTTCTTAAAAATTTCATAAAATTCAAATTTAATTAATTATCTTAACTATAGATTTTCATCTAACAATAACGGTAGCACTAATAGCTTAATTGAATTGGTAGAAACGAGAATATTAAGATGAATGTACGGTAAGACTTTGAAGAATAGGGCGAGAAATGACTATTGATGGTTAGAGTATTACTTGATTAAGATAAAATAGTTGTCCTTGTACAATGTTGGCAATAAGATGAATATGAATATGTCGGGGAAAAAAGGTACATTAAACATTACTCATTATATGCCAATTTCATAAAGATCTTCTAATCTCTAGTAGATATATGTTGCTCTATTCATAATTTAATTCATAATGTTTGTATTTTCTTTCATGTCACTCAATCTTTGTAAGTGAAACAACTTTTATGCAACCTTATCATTGTAACTAAATTAATAAATGTATATTTTACTTGTAGTCTACCTACATTTATCTTATTGATAGTGGTGGTTCCTAGTAAAGGGGATATGCCAAATGAATGCACAATGAGGCAGTGGGATTAATGGCGGTTGAGAAAAATGCTCTTAAATATGGAAATCGAGGGAGAAGAGTAATTAAGAAAAGGGTAGGGGGTGAGAGAAGGACAAATAGATGGTAGAGGAATTAAGACCTCGAAGCTGCTTATCTTCCCAACTATTATGATTCTGGCATCCTCATAGATTTTGGAGAGTTCAAGCAGGCTCTCTACGAAAACATATTTATTGTGTGTGGGTAAATAATGAAAATTTGATATTGTACATGTAAATATTATAGAATCCATTCATATGTATGTAAAGCCCCTTAAATTTATCAATGTGCTAGAGGGAAAATAGAAACAAATGATATATTATAGAATCCAAACTTTTGAAATGCCTTATATCTTCATTTAAATGACTATATAGAACTCATTGTCTTTTATATATTAGTTGCAATTCGAAATGGATATAAATGTAGAAATTATGTTCCTTGAAGTATAAATCTCTAAAATCTTCTCCTTAATCTTTGTCAGCTTAGCTGTGGATATGGCCTTCCTGGAATATTTGCTTGCTTGAAGGTACTACTTCTTCCTGCAAAACTTGAATGTCATTCACAATTAACTGCACAATTCCTCACATCCTGACAATATATATATATATTTTTTGCAATTGTCACCCTCTTCCAGGGTGCAGCCACTGTCCATTTCCAGGACCTAAATGCTGAAGCCATAAGATGCACAACCATTCCCAATGTTCTCGCAAATCTGGAACAGGCTCGAGATAGAAAGACACGTCAGCCGGAGAGTCCTCTTACTCCGTCTCGACAGCAGTTAGCTCCTGATGTCCATTTCTATGCCGGCGACTGGGCTGAGCTTCACACGGTCTTATCTGTCATAGGAATAGACTGTTCTGATCCTGCTGCCGGTATGTGTCTCAGCTTTTCGGAGGAGGATTTGATGGATGGTTACAGTAGCCAGGATGGCAGCATTATAGGCCTAGAAGCACCGAGCAATAGAAGGTCGAGGAAGCTCTCTGGAAGCCGCGCATGGGAGAGGGCGAGCGAAGCGGATCAAGGAGATGGAGGATATGATATTATCTTAATCACTGAGATACCATACTCAGCCAGCTCTCTCAAGAAGCTTTATAGACTCATAACCAAGGTTATTTTCTCATTATTGCTTCTTTCCTCACAAAATGCAAGTTTTTTATTTGGGCATTTACATATATACCACACAATCTTATGTATTTAGATATCTGACACCTATATATTTATATTTATTGCTAATTTCAAAATGGAGTAGGAACCCGCCAAGTATCTTGCTAGATTCCTAAGTTAAATCATTCTAAGCTAGATGTCTGAAGACATTTTATTCCAGTGTTAAATTGGACTATGAGTTTATTGGGTAGTATTTTTGTAGTTTTTTTTTGGCATTTACGTACATTCCATCCACTTATGTATTTGTGTATCGGACACCAAAACTTTGTTTTTTACATTTATACCACCCAAGTTTTTCTTGTCACATACAAAATACCACTATGTTAACTTTCAAAAAGTGAAATTTACCTTCTCATACATAAGTGAAGTGGTGTGCAAGTAAAAATTGAGTGGTATGTATGTAATTTTTTCTTCTATTTTTCAAACAATTTTTCGATTTCTGTTTGACTACAGCTTTCTTTTCAGATATATTCTAAGTGTTTTCTTGGGGGAAATTTACATACATACCATACCACACAGTTCTTATGTATTTACATATTTAACGTCTAAAATTTTATATTTACATTCATGACACTTTGCTCTTATAAATTTATGCATGAAAACGTGTATTTGCGTTTCAAAAAAGCTGATAATGGTGGCCTTTTTAACATGATGTTACAGATTCGAGTGCTAGACATGTCGATTAAGAACTTTAGGTGCTAGTTATGTAAATATGTAAGAATTGTGTGGTATATATGTAAATGCCTCAAATTTTAATGATAAGAATCCATTGAAATTTCTTTCTCAAGATGGGAAATAAAAAATTGCAATTCTATTTACATAATTGATTTTGCAAAAAAGGTTTATGGACAGCACTCTCATATAAATGTTATATGTTTCTGCAGTGCCTGAGGCCGCCATACGGCGTGCTCTATCTGGCTGCGAAGAAGAATTTCGTCGGCACCAACGGAGCTGCGAAGCAGCTGAGAGCTCTGATGGATGACGAAGGTCTTTTTGGTTCGCATCTGTTAACAGAGCTCTCTGACAGAGAGATTTGGAAGTTCTTCTTCCTCAAGTAAAAGAAAATTACAGAATGTACACCCTCTAATCTCTGTAAATAACATTTCTGCACTTCTTCATACATTGTCTGTGAGTTCTTATAGTTTAGGTTAGTTTTGAAAATTGATATTGTTATATAGTTTTTTATTTTATTTTATTCTTTTTTAATTTTTTTGTTAAAGTTAGAAAGTTTGAGTGTTGAAATATGAATATGATGAAGATCTCAATGTATTTATTTGTCTGCAGTTTTTAAAGTATTTATACTTTCATCACTTTGGGCATGTTTGCAATGTATTTTTTAGCTTGGCATGATCTTCATTGTCAATCTTCAGACTTGATCACTTTGGGTATGTTGCATTTTACAAACACATTTTTTGTAAAAAAGTGGAAATTTTAAGTTCTACTTTTATCTTGCTTGTATAATAAATTATTTCAATTAAGCCTAATTTCTTTTTTGAGGTTTACGTATAAATAGTTTAATGCTTTTGTTAAATTAGTTTTATTTTTATTCAAAATATTCATGCAATGATAAGGTGTAAAAGTCTTTCTACTATCATTAATGTTGTAGCACCCAAAAAAAAAAAAAAAAAGAATAATAATAATCCACTATTTTTTAAAATTAATTTGATATACGTGTGTGATACTTTTGGATTAGATCAAATGCAGTTTGTCTCATCAAGTTCTTCAGTTTGACTATAAGTTTGCTGAAATTAATGCTCTAGATGACTATTGATTTAAGTTTGAATCTTTTTTGCTCAAAAGATTGTTTTGAGATCTGTTTCATGCTTCAAGATTCATGCCGGATAATGAAAATTTGTTAGAGACATATCAATAATAGTAATTGTCTCTACATGTTTTGATATTTGTCTGACCCAATTGAGTCTCAAAAACCACTTTTGAGTTTAAAAATTTTGAATAAAAAAAAATTTAGAATATTTGTAGATTATTTTGGCATACCAACTTTTAAAAATAATGAATTCTAATTTAGATAAATTTAGTTAGTTTCACCTCAAATTTTCTTTTAGATTAAAATTTTGTTAGTTGAATCTTAAGCCTAAATTTACTTTTGTACTACTTAAATTTGAATATTTGAAAAAAAAAAGGAAAATAATTTGTCATTAGAAATCCATAAATCAAACACAAATCCTACTATAAAAATAATAAAAAGTAAATTATGACCATTCAAATTATGATTTAGGAAAAGTGATTGGCAAACTTAATGTTTTGATGAGATCAACCCAATGAAAATAAGGTTGTTATGATCCAAATATAAATATACTTAAAATCAAGTACTTTATGTGTTCAATAAAGGCTTCATGCTTTTCTATCCCATGAATATGGTCTTCTAGGGATAATCTTGAAATGCCTTCATAATGTAGATTATGGCATTCTTATTGAGGGAATGATTTTTAGATTAATGAATGCTAGGGTAGGAGACTCCATTATTGTGGTTGCTCTCTTGCATGGTGATTGCAAAAAATGAGACATTGCTTAATTGAGTAGGTATCATGAAAAATAAATAAATATGGACATCTCAAATATAATTTCATATGAAAATAATTTCAAATATTTATCAAACTAAATAAATATTAAAGTATTTAAACAATCATGTATATATATTGTGGGCATATTTATGTAAATTTTTGGTTCCTTTTTTATTTTAGAATCACCAAAAAATTATTGGAGGATTTATCTACATTTCACAAAAATCACATGTATTAACATATGTAATTCTTAATTTTTTTTTTATAAACAATGTGCTGTTCTCATAATACTATTTCTTAAAAGTTGCATTTTACTTCTAGAATTTAATAACAGTAATATTTTTGAAGTCATATTAAGTATCAATATATATATATATATACCTTTAATGTGTCAAACCATTCGAGTATCACCTCCTTAAGGCCAACTGTGCGAGAGGAGATTCTAACCCCCGACCTGAGAGGTCTTATATCGTGAATGCCAACCAACAGTACGGGATACACAACACACACACACAGATAGATATATATATATATATATATATATATATATATATATATATATATATATAAAGGTAAAAAGAATTGAATGTGGGTATACCACCAGACATGCTACATCCCTAAGGTTATTGGAGATTATTGAGGTGAAATCCTTGAGGTTATTTAGGGATTATTGTGGAGGTTAATATAAGAGGTTATTGAAGTGAAATTACAAAAAGTTATTGGAGATTAAATAGGAGTGGAGCCAAAGAACAAAAAAAAAAGAACACCCTAAATAGCTTATACAATTACACTCCTATAACTTTCGCGGCCAATGTGAAAGACATGACAATTATATATTAATGGAGCGCATTTTCTGTCCGGACTCCTGACGTAGCTCTACGTGCGATATTTTCAGGTTATTTCTGAGTTATTTTTAATAATCTTGAAATAACCTAGAAATAACCTGCGGTCTTTATTTATGGGTTACTTCTACGTTATTTAAAATAACAAAATAACTCAAAAATAACCTGAAAATTCGTGACAGATAGAGCTACTTTAGGGAAAAATTATTCCATACGGATCGGTTACCGCACGCAGCGTGCGTGCGGTGACCGATCCGGACTGTAGATCACCTGATCTGGGGTCCCGATGTATTTCGGTGGGTCCCATCGAAAATTTTTTTATTTTCTTTTAAAAAATGAAAATAATTCTGACCGTAGATCATCGTGATCTACGGTCGGGACCAAACTCCGCACGCAATAATTGCTTTAGGAGTCATCAATATTAACGAGAGTCTAGAAGCTCACGTCCGGAGCGGAGTCCGGACCCGAAGCTGAATTAGCGTCTCCCAAATGGGAGATTATCGTGGGTTCATCACAGCCGACATTCTATTGCGGATCCTTTGGATTCTAACATTCTTCAGTTTTTCTCATAAAATCGCCGGAATCCGGTAAGGGTTTATCGATACATAGCTGTATAGGCTTTCTTTTGAATCTATTTACATATTTCGCGTACCCACTGATCAGAACAGTTCGAGATGACAAAACCTTTCAAATTTGCCGAAAACTTTTTAAATGCAGAAGAAATATTAGCAAATCAAGAGAAAATGAGTGAATTTTATCAATAATTCCTGGAAGAACGAGGTTGGATTATGTAGGCACTGTACGTCTACAATCGAAGCCATGAATATGATTTATATAAATTAAAAGTTATTTTTTGGGGTTTAAATTTGCATATTATATTGTATTTTGAAGCTCTTAAAATTAAGTTTAAGGTTGCAGTGCGGGTAATTTTTGTTTTTTTCTTCTTGAATCGGGCATGCGTTTGATTTATTTATTCTTTTATTCACTTTTGGGAAAAAACCCTTCACGGGGCAAACAAGCACTCATGGGGTTATTTTAGGAATGGAATTTGAACGACATCATCATCAAGACCATCATTATTAGCCTTATCCCAACTATTTTTGGTTGGATTTATGAATTCTCATCATTCATCAGTTCTTGTTGAATGTTGCATGAGATCTTAAATTTTTTTAGCACAATTTCATGTTATTATCGCTCTACTTGTTTTTCTTCCTAATCCCTTGGTATTAATTTTATCCACTTGCTATTAATGCATTTCTTTCACCCTTATTTGTATTCTTTGAACCATCTAAATCTAATTTTTATTATCTTATCTTCAATAGATGCTGTTCACCAACCGCGCACCCCAACTCCTCCCCCTCCACCTCCCCCTACCCCTCCCCCCAAAATTCGTTTTCGCATGGCATAAAAGTTTATTTGTAACTCTCCATGATTTCCTCCTACAACATAACCTGAAACACTTGCTATTTTAACAACTCAACCTTTTTCTCTAGCAGATTTATTATCATATATGTTCGATTCTTGCACTCATTAAATTCATGATACTTGAACCTAACACAACTAGGCCTCACTTCAACTAACTAATAATATTGATTTGTTAATATCATATCAACCAAAATTTCATGCCGTATATTTCATTTTGTCCTAATTATTATAAGTTCTTTATCTTCAAAATAGTTTCTCCATTGCTTTAACATTTAACTTATTTTCATAGACGTTTGATTGATTAAAAGTATTTCATCTGTGAATAGTACATAACAAGGCACCACCTTTAATATTTGTTGTAGTAATCTTTATATGTTTGGCTTATTATATATATTTTTTATAATCTTAGTGTGATTGAATATTCTTTGGTTACTTCACAAATATTTTTAATAAGTCAATGCTCCATTAGATCTTATTTTAAAACTTCTTACATACCATTGAAATGCACATATCTTTTTTAACACACAATAAGTTAATTCTAGTGATATATTATATCACATGCCCTTTTAGAGTGTTTAAAAATTAGGGTGCTAAGTAAATTAGTACTTTTAATGAAAAACTCGATACTCATTAGTATAAAACTCATTGATGTTTATTTATTTTCAAAATTTATTAAGCTTGTATTAAGTTTTCAAAGCTCGACATTTAAATGAAAAAGCTTGAGCATTATTGTTTAATAATTCAATGAAACGTTGCTTTAATATTAATATAATTGCCTATATGATGACTTATTTTATAGTTTTATAATAACTTTCTTCTATCTTGTGCACTTTAAAGATAATACCTATTACTAGAGATATACAAATGATGAAAATCTGCAATGAACAAATTGCTAGATGATTTAATTAAATTATAATTTTATATTTTAACCAAAAAGGATTCATAGCTGGCCCAACTTAGTGGGATATAGGCTTATTGTTGCTATTTTTGTATTGAAATTTGAATGTGATAAATTATTAGAAACAATAGTGACAAAATTAGTGGCATATTTATCAAATATTTATAACACTGCCATTGTCAGTTTCAAGCCCGTATGTGAGAAGTTGAGTGTTGTGTTAGGTAATCGACAACCAACATAAAACTTATCGAAATAATCATGACATGAATCCTTTTGATCATTGTGTAAGTGTTAGGGCGCCCTCTGAAAGCGATGCGCTGTATAACTTGAATACAGTAAAAAACGTGCAAGGGTCACTACACCTACGCTCGGATATAATGTCAAATAAGCAAGAATTTCCATATTACAGACGAATGCGGGTAAAGAAGTTTTGTCGTGAAACTAATGAAATTAATATTAGGGTATGATCTTGGAATATAGGCACTCTCAATGATAAATTAATGGAATTAATTGATATTATGATTTATAGAAAGATTAATATCTTATGTATTCAAGAAACTACATGGGTTGGAGAAAAGGCTAAGGAGATTTATAACTTAGGTTTTAAACTTTGGTATTCTGGTAAGAGTTGCACTAGAAATAATGTAGGTGTAATTATAAATAAGAGTTTGAAAGATAATATTGTAAAAATTAATAGAGTTGGAGATAAAATTATAACACTTAAGATTATCATTGATACTAAGATTTTTAATATTATAAGTACTTGTGCTCCTCAAGTAGGTTTAGATATAGGGTTTAAAGGTAAATTCTGGAAAGACTTAGAAGACCTAATACAAATGATACCTTTTGAAGAAAAAATTTTTATTGGAGGAGATTTAAATGGACATGTTCGGTAGAGTGGTAGAAGATTTTAGAAATATTCATGGTGGCTACGGTTTTGGAGTGACTAATGAAGATGATAGAACTATTTTAGTTTTTTCTTTAGCGTATGATTTTGTTATTACTAATACTTTATTAAAGAAAAGTTATGAACATCTTATTACTTATAAGAATGGATCTAATAAAATATAAATTGATTATTTTCTTATGAGAAGAAGAGATCGTTGAAATTGTAAAGATTGTAAGGTCATTCCAAGTGAAGATTTAAGTACCCAACATCGTTTGTTAGTTCTAGATTTTAAGATGAAGAGTTATTAAATAAAGAATACTAGGGCTCATCATCATATAATTAGATGTGGGAACCTAAAAGACACAAATAAAATTATTTTTATGAGTAAAATTCAAGATTTTAAAATTTAGGTTATTCATGATGAAGCAAATGCTATGTAGGATAAAATAACAAATACTATCAAACAAGTAGCAAAAGATGTACTTGAAGAATCACAAGAAAAAGTTTCTTTGAATAAAAATAGTTGGTGGTGGAATAATATTGTGTAAGAAAAGATAAAATTTAAGAATTTTTGTTATAAAAATTGATTTAAATGTAAAAGCTTATAAAACTGAAAAAAATATCAAATGACCTATAGGGAGTCTAAAGGAACAGTATGTAACACTACAAATTCTGCTTTTAATGATCTTTATAATAGATTAGATACTAAAGGAGGGTGAAAAATATATGTATAAGCTAGCCAAAAAAAGAGAAAAGAAAAGTGAAGATTTAGTTCAAGTAAAGTGTATTAAAGATGAAAATCAAAAAGTGTTTTTTTTTTTAAATATTCAATATAGTTGGGTGAGTTATTTTGATAAACTTTTTAATGAATACGATCGACTTTAGTGATCTTAATATCGTTAATAATAATAAAACGTTTCATTTTTACCATCGCATTAGTAAAAAAGAAGTTGAGGAAGCTTTAAAGAAAACCCGGGGTGGAAAGTCTGTAGGACCTGATCATATCCCAATTGAAGTATGAAATATTTAGGAGATTTGGGAGTTTCTTGGCTTACTAAACTCTTTAATATTATTTTAAAAACTAAGAAAATTTTTGAGTGGAGGAAGAGTATTTTGGTCCCTATTTTTGAGAATAAAGGGGATGCACAAGAGTGTGCAAATTATAGAGAAATTAAGTTGATGTGTCATACTTTAAAATTATGGGAGAGTATAATTAAACATAGGTTAAGACGTATTACAAAGATTTCTCATAATCAATTTGCATTTATGTCGGGCAAGTCTACTATAGAAGCTATACATTTATTGAGAGGTTTGATGGAGAAGTTCAGAGTTAATAAGGAGAATCCACATTTGATTTTTATTGATTTAGAAAAAGCTTACGATAAGATTCCAATAGATATCCTTTGGAGAGTTCTTGAGAAGAAAGGTGTTGATATGACTTATATTCAAGTCATTAAAGATATGCATACTAGAGCTGATACTTGTGTTTGAATTGAAGGAGGATTGACCAAATATTTTCCTATTTCTGTTGGATTACATCAGGGATCAGCTTTAAGCCCATATCTTTTTGCTTTAGTTATGGATGACCTTACTGGACATTTACAGGAGCATGCACCTTGGTGTATGCTTTTTGCTGATGATATCCTTCTCGTGGATAAGATGAGAGAAAAAGCCCAGGAAAAACTTAAATTATGAAGGTGTACATTAGATTCTAAAGGAGTTCATTTGAGTAGAACTAAAACTGAATACATGGAATGTAATTTTAGTAGTAGTAGCTCTAGTGACAGAAGTATAATTTTGGGTGATAAAATTATTAAAAGGTGTGAACGATTTAGATATTTCGGGTATGTTGTTCAAAGCGATGGTGATATAGATGGGGATGTTAATAGTAGAATTCAAGTTGGTTGGTTGAAGTGGAGGAATGCTTCAAGCCTTTTGTGTGATAGAAAAGTACCGCTTATATTGTATTGAAAATATTGAAAGGAAAATTTTATAAGACGGTGGTGAAACCTGCAATGCTCTATGGCCCTGAATGTTGGTCTTTAAAAGAGAAGCATACTACTAAGTTAAGTGTTGCCGAGATGAGAATGATTAGATGGATGAGTGGCTTTACACTTAGAGACAAAATTCGTAATGAATATATCCGTGATAGGGTTGGCGTTGCTGGGTTGGTGTAGCTTGGTGTAGCTCCTGTGACAGACAAAATTAGAGAAAGTCGTTTTAGATGGTTTGGTCACATTAAGCGTCGACCATCTATGATCCCATTAGGAGAGTAGGTGTTTTAGATTCAACTTGTGCTAAGAACGACAGAGGTAGGCCTAAGAAGATTTTGGCTTATTGTATAAAAAATGATATTAATTTATTAAAACTAAATAAAAATATGACACTGAATAGTACGCAATTGAGAAAACATGTAGCCGACCCCACGTAATGGGATTAAGGCATTGTTGTTGCTGTTGTTGTTGTACTGATCAAATATTTTATCTATGAATATTTTTATTTTTAAATATAAGGTTATATAAAATTTTTTTTAGTATTTTATGTATGTTTGTTATTCTTAACTAAAGCTCATTTATATCTAGAATAAGATAATAAATTCTAGCCATGAATTTCTCAATTATTTCCATGGCCATGTTGGCGATTTGTGCTGGAATACCTTTTATTGATGTGATTTCGGAGGGCGAAGGACTTATTTTCTGCTGTTTAGAAATTTAGTGAAGTATTTAAAAGAAAGTGAATTTCTTTACCCATTTGGTTTGCTGGTTAAACATATCGTGACCAATGTTTCTAATTTTCTGATGCACTTCAACTTAAATGGCAGATCTTTCCTTTGAACCAATTCCCGTTCTTAATTTTTTTTTTCTGCATTCAGAAACTGCTCTTAAATTTGCTGATTTCTTGGGTCTGTAGGAAGGACGCAGGCTTTCTTCAAAAACTTGCATGTAGAAATACTGTACATGGACGTTATTTACTGGCGGATGATAACGGTATGACTATTGCTATCTTGTTTTACATGACGTGCCTATATGATAAGTGTGAAACCTCTTAAGTAGATTGAAGCTAAACTCTTAAATATTGAGGCGCATTTTGTTATAACTATTGGAATTTCATTAGAAACCCTTAAGTTAAGTGTGCTCGTGCGGGAACACTCTCGAGATGAGTGATCTTCTGGGAAGTCATTGCAATGGAACAAAATCATGAGGTCATTGGCTAAAGCGGACAATATCTCGATGGATGAGAGTTTGAGCCATTACAAATGATATGAGAGCATCACACCCGGTTGAACAACGGGCCTAAGTGCCATGCAAAACAAATGCTATGATATGGGAGCACCTCCTAAATCCTAGACAAGACAAAGTGTAACATGGTGGGAGCTATCTTTTGAATATGTAGGGGGCCTAAGTGCCATGCAAAACAAATGCTATGATATGGGAGCACCTCCTGAATCCTAGACGAGACAAAGTGTAACATGGTGGGAGCTATCTTTTGAATATGTAGGGGCCAACTATGGAATTCTATTTGTTCGCTGGATTATTCTGGGTTAAGAGCACTGATGAGGATATCAATTACTTATGTTGGGAAAATTGTGAAACCTCTTAAGTAGAATGAAGCTAAACTCTTAAACATTATGGTAACATTTGGTGCAACAGTTGGAATTTTATCAGAAACTTCAAAGTTAAGCGTGATCGTGCAAGAGCATTCTTGGGATGGGCAACTTCCTAGGAAGTTACACCAATGAGACAAAACCTTGAGGTGATTTGGCCAAAGCTGACAATATCTCGATGGATAATAGTTCGGGTTGTTACAAGAAGACAGTCCATGTTCTTAAGCCTAAAACTTGCATACCAACATTTTCTCGGGAAAAAAATTTAAATTACAGCATGGTTGTTGTGGTCCAACCCTGCCATGTTTTGATTTTTTTGGTTTGCTGCTGAAACAGTCATTACAGTTACAATTTTCCTTCTTAGGTTTTGGTTTAAATGGAAAAAAACCTCATTGCTCTTTCAGAAATTTCATGGAACAACTTTTGGTGTACTTGTGCTCTACCCTTGAAGTTAAAATAAAGAAAATTGCAACCATAGTCTCTGACTGCTTACAGGTGGCTATTTTAGTCCATGAGTTTATCAAAGTAAGTGTCAATTTTGTCCTAGGCTCTTTTTGAATATATGTTGAAATAGTCTCCAATGAGGACTATTTTAGCCCCTTATTAAATCAGTTTGGGGACTAATTTAGCACTTTTATAAACTCTGGGACTGAAAAGCTCTCATGTAAATAATCAAGGACCATTTTGACACTTAATTCCTTGAAAATAGTTCTGGCTCGTCAGTTTATGTTTTAAATATGAACATATATAGCCTTTGATTTGCATAATAACTTAGTTATACTTTTATGATTCTTTTTAGTTCTTAATCTTGCAGGTTATGTTTGTTCTTCGCTCTCTGTTTACCCGTGGACTAGTTGCTGTCCAGAAACTGGAGAAAGGTTTTCCTGCCAGTGAGTTATTTTAATGCATAGACTCGACCATTGCAATTGGGAAAAAAACAGTATGCTTAACTGTGCACTTTGTGCTCTCTGCAGGGGTTGTAACCTCATCTCCAAGTGTTGTAATTCATATCAATATTGTGTCTCATGCTGCTTAAATCCATCCATGGTAATTGCTCGATCGTATTACTCTCATTTACTTTTCGCGCCATAGTTTCTCACTAAAAATTGATTTTTATAGACACAAGAAGATGCTGTGCTAAAATTGAAGATAGCCAAACCAGTAACTGCTGGTACCATCTCCTTAAAGTTTTAATTTCTCCTCTTTTCCTTCCTTTTTTCGTAGAAGGTATTTACTTTTGTCTATCCTTGTCTCCGTTCTCTGCTTATTCAGGTACTTACTCCGGTGCTTTTGATTTCTGTGTTGGAAGATGTCGTCATAACTCTGCAAGTGTGGTATATTCACTAAAGTTCTTTTGAATTCTAGGCAAATATGATCCCTACTGAGTGCGAATAGTTCTTATGAATATATTGGGAAATGAAGTCTGAGCTCAGTTTTTCTTGATATTTTGTGATATTTTAGGTTCATGAAAATGCCTATGCTAGTGATTTCCATCACTGCTATTCCCTGCAAACAAATTTTTCTGGTAAGTTTTTTCGTTTTCTCTGTTTATTTCAATTAAAATTGGAGTAAACTATTATATTGCTTGCCTGGGTTTTATTTAACTCTCTATGAAGGGAGAATGAAGAAAAATCATCTCACTTTATCTATATATATATATATATATATATATATATATATATATATATATATATATATAAACAGAGAGAGAGAGTGAGGAGATGATTTTCTTATGTTTTTTTTTAGTTACCGAAAGAACTTTAATATATTATTGCAACACTGTTCACCTTCTTTGGTAGCTTCCACTTGGTCCGCAATATCCGTTTACCTCCTAGTGTGGTGCAGCGGAAAGTTTTCTTCTCTTGAAAAAATGGAGCTAATTCTAGATTATTTACAAAACTTGTAATGTTATTCATGCATGTATATCTTAAATAGCTTTGGGCCAAATTTTAAATGGTATATTGATTTTTAAGTATTGCCCTTCAATTTCCTCTCTGAAGATTTTTTGGTTTTACAATATGATTATTCAAAATAGGTTTTCAGCTTGTTTATGGATCTGAAATTATGGCTCTTCTATACAAATAAATATAGTTACTAAATAAATTTAAGTGCTGCTGTCAGGTGTGACAGAACCCAATTTTGAGAGAAGGCTGGCAGGCATCGATATTGTAATTGGAAAGTAAGATTACATAATCATAGTGCTCATTTTTTGGACTTTGGTGTCATTTTCCATTTCCAAGATTTGTTTTTTTTATGTTCGGACATGGAAAGCTAGACAAGGAGAATCTTGTAACTCTTCCTGCATGTCAAAAGGGAAATCTTGTGTTTCAAATAAGCTTTCGGTTATAAACAGATGTGAACTGTAAGTTGTGATTCCTCTGAATTTTACAATGGTTTTCATTTCATATGCTTGTACATAATATCAGATAGCTTGCATATCTTGCTAGAACATTGAGAAAGGAGTAAATTGTAAAAATAGTTCCTTGACTATATATTTGGGTCATTTTAGTACCATAGTTTAAAAAAATATTAAATTAGTCCCCATACTCTTTAATGTGGACTGAAATAGTCCTTTGTAGGAACCCTTTTAGCGCCTATTAAAAGATTTTGGGGATTAAATTGGAACTTTTCTGGACATTGGGACTAAAACCTTTGTAATAAGTCAAGGGACTATTTTGACACTTCTCTCACTGGGAAAGTGTTGAAAAAGAAAATTACAAACGTTATTTCTTGTACAAGTGCTTGATTATAATCTCCAGTGGGAGAAACGACTGTTGTCCATTTCTTAGTATAATGGGAATTATAAAAATGTTTGTTTTTAACTGAAAAATTTATCTTGCCCGTAAAATCTAAGCGAACTTTTTGTACTTCATTTTTTTTTGCGAACTGCATAATTTGTCCATTATTTCTTTTTTTGTAATTGTTTCGTATTTATTATTTCATTTTGCACCACTGCCCAATTACTTAGCTACACACGCTTTGCTTCTCATGATTAGTACTGTGGATTTGCATCTAGTTAGCTATATGGTTTGGATTATGAACTAGCTAAATCAATTGATTTTTATAGTAAAATTCAAAGTAAACGACCTGATGAAACTATTTTCCAAACTAAATTAAACCGTACCAAAGTTTAATTTTGTCAGGTTGGTTCGATTTTGGATGAACAAAAATGTACTTAGATTGAACAATGAACTTTATTATCTTTAGCTTAAACAATATTTATTAAGAAAAATATCTCTGTACTTGAAATCTATAATTTTGGCATGTAGAGTAAATAATATACATTATTCTTTTTTATCACTTTTTTATTCATGTAATAATTGAAAAAAAAATAATAAGTAATAATAAATCAAATTGGTAGGATCAAATAATTGTCTCGACGGTTTCACTTAAGGAGGCTAGTGTCTCACTCATTTGGAATCATAGAACTGATCGAGAGACTGAGCGAGAGGCAGAAGGAGTGTGTGCCCTAGCGTATTGGTGGAGAAGAAGAGAGGAAATAAAGAATAAGAGAAGGATTGTATACTAAACCCAAGTCGAGACGAGCAAAGAGATTGATCTCTTGGGGTTGGAAGCGTTTCCATCCAGTGCGAGTTCTTGCTGGAGACAAGATCGAGGCCCGAAGAAGAAGAACCTTTCTGTGCGAGTTCTTGCTGGAGACAAGGGCAAGGCCACAACCTTTCTGTGTAGAAGGGGAAGAGTTGAATGCCTCTACTGTTGGTTTGAGTGGAAGGGAGGCGAGGGCATGGCTTTGCCTGTAAAGCTGAGAGCCGACCCGACAAAATCACAATTGACCAGCTCTGGTGCGAAGAGGAAGGAGAAAGAGGGAGGAAGATGACTTCCCCTCCCACGTACTGTGCCAAAATCAAAGTAGGGTTTTTGGTGCGGGTGACTCTCAGTGAGCTAAGGAAGAAGAAGGCAGAGGTGAGGAAAGTGAACGAAGTACTTTTATGCGCGAGGCAGTGTAAGCTCATGAACCTTGTGTATAATAAATAAAGTCAACCGAGCCTTAAGAAGGTTCAATTTGGAAAATCTTATTCAATCATTATTAATTAAATATAATGTTATAGATTTTAAAATTAATATTTATTAATTTATTACATAAATCTTAAATCAAGGAATGTATGTTTTGGAGTCAGAAATTATTGATTTCACATAAGAAGAAAAACGTACGAGTGAGGTAGGAGATTAATTCGAGAAACTTATAAGGTAAATGGTAATGATTACATTATTATTATAATAAATGATATAATTTTTTAAGGGTTCGTTTGGGGCAGCTTATTTGGTGTGGTGGCATTTTGAAAACGCACATGGACTGTTTGGGTAAACAACGTTTTGACAGCTTATGCGTTTTGAAAATGCTGAAAGCAGCGTTTTCACACCGCGCCTAAATGTGGTGACAACTTTCGGACAGCGGTTTGACTTTCCCATAAAAATAAAAATTTATAATAGTCACCACACCTAACATATCAGCATATTATTTTTAATCAGTTTATCAACAAATTATTCAATAAGCTGCAGCTGCTCTAAAGTGACCCTAAATTAATGTTATTAAATTTTCTTCTATTAGGAAGTGTGAGAGAAGATTGATAAATCCTTGGGTTTTAACGAAGAAGAAAAATAATTTTAAAGTAAAAATAAGATGTGTTTTAATCATAAAAATCTTACCTAGTTAAAATTTTGTCGATTATTAAATATTACTTTATAAGTTTATGAGTTTTAATTAGGTTTGTTGATTTAAATGTGTAATGAGTGTTAATTGAAGAATAAGAAAAAGGATAATTGAAGGAAAAGAAAAAGGCATTCAATTTAGGTGAATAATTAGTTTCTTGTATGTATTAAATTAAGATTTTATTAAATAAAAAATTGCACTATTGCTTCATATACTTATTTTTATAATCCGAAGCATATTGTGAATGAAAGAATTTCTGAAATGAATGAAGTAAAAATAGAAAAGGTTAAATATTATTTTTATGACTTTAAATGGAAGTAGTTAAAATAAATGAAATGCAAATCCATATGTCATTCAGGATTACCTCAGATGACATTGGCAGAATGCGATATACCCATGCACGAAAAAAAATGAAATGGTAAATGTGTATTTTTAGGTGCAAAATTTTGTAGTTACATACCGATATAATTTTGTGGATACCTTCAGGTATGACAATAATCTTGATACGAATTTTTAAATATATTAAAAAGGGTAAATATTTAAATTGAAATGAGAAATAGATTTAAATTGAAAGCTTACAATTTTATCAAGTAATGCACTATATTTCTTTTGTTCATTCATATATAGCATTTGCATATGAATTTAATGTATTTTAAAATTATAATTGCTTATTAAGTCGTAAAAACTTATTGTTGATTTTAATTGTTTCTTTTAAAAAAAATTGTAGATTGATATATCTAACATGAGAGAATTAATTTACGGAAGGAGAACTACTGCTGATAGGTATTATGGTTGTAGTTTTTTTTTACTATTTTCTTCTGGGTAGTGATCTACTATTATATGCTGGTTTGAGATGTTGTCTATAGACTGTAATTAATTTTGGATGTTTAAATTTTTATATAATATACTTTGTGGTTTGTTAGTGACTCGTATATATAGAACACTCTAACAGTCTGTGGAAGTAAATTATATTTTAATATATTTTGTTTGTAGTTTTTTATTTGGTTAATTTCTAGCTATCAGGTCGGGTCATGACAAATTCAATTATTAATTGTAATTTTAACATTTTTTATTTTCAGATATTGTCTCTTTTTTTGGTAAAAACTATTCTAACAAAATATTGAATTATGTTGATTTCTTGAAATATAAAAAAAGGCTCTTGGACTCTAAATTGTCATGAACCAGTCTGATAATTTAGAATTAATCAAGTCAGGAACTGCGGACAATATTAACATCTATTTTTTTTCCACAGATATTTAGAATTTCTAATATATACAAAAGAGTTACTAAGTAATTACAAAGTATACTATACAAAAATAAAAATATCTAGACATATTTACATAGTCTGTAGACAACATCTCAAACTAGTATATAACACTAAATTATTTTCAGAAAAAAATAGTACATAAAGCTACAATCATAACACCTATGAGCAGTAATAGTCCTATAAATTAAATTCTTTCTGTTAGACATATTAATCTACAATTTTTCCTGAAAAAAAAATTAAATTCAATAGTAAGTTTTCATGATGTAGTAAGAAATCATAATCTTAATATGTATTAAATTAATATGTAAATGTTATGTATGAATGACCAAAAGAAATATAGTTCATTACTTAATAAAATTGTAAAATTTCATTTTAAATTTCTCTTCCCATTTCAATTTAAATATTTACCCTTTTTACCCTCTTTAAGAATTTATATCAGGATTACCGTCATACCTGAAGTTATCCTCAGAACTGTATCCATAGATACCTTCGAAATTTTACACCCAAAGACACCTTTATCATTTTCATTTTTTTTGTGCAAGGGGTATATTGCATCCCTTGTTAGTACCATCTGAAGATATTCCTGAATGATTTAATTTTGTAGATTTCATTTCTTTAATTATTTTCATTTATAGTAATTGAAATCACTATTTTTTCTTTTTCATTTTCACTTCATTCATTTCAGTAATTCATTCATTCACAATATGCCTCATATTATAAAAATATGAATATAAAACAATAATGCAATTCTTTATTTAATGAAACATTAATTTAATACATACAATAAAATAAATTATCACCTGAAATTCATTCACAATATGCCTCACACAGGTTGGCGGCGCTTCTAACCTCAATTAATCGCTTAATCTCTCTGCTAGTCTCGGCTACGGTTTAGCATGCAACCATTCCTTCTCTTACTCTTCCTCTCCTCTCTTCTTCTCCACCAATCGGCTAAGACACAAACCCCTCCTCCCGTCTCTCACTCAGTCTCTCGATCCATTATGTGATTCCAAACGAGTGAGAAACCAGTCTCCTTAAGTGAAACCGTTGAGACAATTATTCTATCCCACTGGTTCGATTTATTATTACTTATTATTATTATTATTATTATTATTTTATTTTTTTTAAAGTTATTACAAAATTCATATTTTAACTTCACAATGCGCTAGAGGCAATTTAACCACTTCACCAACCTCTCTACTCATTTACTGACCAAAGACTAGTAATTTTGGCAGATTATGGATTCCTAGGAATTGTAAGTAGTTGTGGATTCTGTAAGCACCAAAAATTTACCTTTTCTTTCCCCCAGATTCTCCTGTTGTCACACAAATCAAATTTATTTCCTTTTACATCGTTGCCTTCTCGATTCAGATTTTGCAAATTTTCTCATTCCTTTCCCGATACTTTCCCTATTGGTCTCCTG